TAGGGAAATAGTAGTAAATGAAAATCTATAATATCAGATAAAAAGTAAATACTTAACTACTTAAACTATATGTCAGATATAAGTGCTATAAAGAAGATTAAAACTGGGACCAGCAGTTGGCATAATGGCTATGTTGCTGGACTCCCATGTAGTCAACCGCGGTTCGAGTCCCAGACCCAGTGGCTTAAAACTCACACCAGGTACATGTGCGTGCGTGCCCAAGATCTCGAGAAGAGAATGGAAGAGAAGGGATTGTGGCATGGTCATCCTCCCTGGGGGGGGTGACTTCTCGCTTTCTGTCTGTCTACCTCTTTCTGGCAAGTGCACGTGCCCTATAGCAAAAACCTCTCTCAAAAAAAAAAAAAAAAAAAAAAGATTAAAGTTAAGAAAACTTACTGGGTTGAGTTGTGAAGGGATAAAGAGGTGTATTATTTTTGATGAAATAAATGGTCAGAGTTGGCCACTCTAATGAGGGGGCATTTGAACAAAGATCTATCTGAGCACATGAGGCAGAAGGAACAACATGCAAAAGCAGGCAGTGCTTGTAGACGGAGGCCAGTATCTCCAGTGGAGTGAGCCATGGGTTGAGAAGGTGCATGCTGGATGTGAGGTCGGATAGGGAGCAGGGAGGTAAAAGTGATCAAGTTTACATTTTTAAAGTGACTGCTAAATATAGTCACAAGGTTCAGTAAGATGAACTCCTGTGAAAAGATCTGTGGGCACTCTACTTCAGAAGAATACATTTCCGCTCGGCCTAATAGTGATATAAAATATCTTACATGCACAATTATATTAAACCCTTGAACTGGCAATGAAAGATACGGCATATATTTTTCCGGCATGTCCTGTCAAAAAATCGACAGCATTATTCTATTCTAGAAACATCCACTGTAAAATATGTGCTGGTTGATAATTTATATGATAATCAAATCTCTAACGTTCATAGAAAAACAGCATTCAACTGCAAATCTGCCGTTAAAACATTTACTTGTGTTTTGGGGGGATTTATAATTCTAGCAAAAATATATAAACTTTTGCACTTAAAATGCTAATAAATTTATAAACAACTGTTTTAGTGTGTTGCTGATTCTAAATTTTGGTTTCACGCAGGGATAGGTAGCTTTTGATATTTAATAAAATTATTTCATTTAAAATATGAAATCATTCCCAGATAATGGACTAATTTACTTTGTACTATTCCATCACAAGGGTTATCACTGTAAAAAGGGCAAGTATTTATCCATTAATTTATTGGACAATTTTTTTGGCACCTATTATGCATCAGGCATTATCCTAGGTGCTGCGGATACTATTGTGAACCAAAGAGAGAAAAATCCATTACAGAGCTAACATTCTATGTGGAAACAAAATAAGGAAAGTGATAATAAAATAAAATATATGATATTCCAATACCATAGGCTATAATAAATGTTAAAAAGGGAAAAATAAAGCAAGGAAAAGCAACAAAAAATATGGGAGTGGGGCTGAGAAGGATAATTTTAGACAGAGTGGCTAAAGAAGGCTTTTTAATAAGAAGATACCATTTAAATTAAGGACAGAAGAAAATGAGAAAGCTGGCCAGATGGATTTTTTTGCAGGAATACCATTCTAAACAGAGCAAGGAAGAAGCCACAGTAACCAAAACCAAAAGAACCAAAGGAATAGCAGTGGGAAAGGAGGTGAAAGAGTTAGCAAAGACCAGATTATGTAGGGCCTGACAGGCCATCACCAAAGTTTGGTTTTGTTTCCAATGACATGGGAAGCCTCTGGAGCAAGAGTGTTCAATAGTACTTTCTATAATGAGAATGTTCTGTACTCCTATGTTAATTGCTAGCCACTGAGGCACCACATTTTTAATTTAATTAAAAAGATTTTTAGATGGGGAACCAGCAGTTAGCGTAATGGCTATGTCGCTGGACTCCCACGTAGTCGACCGTGGTTCGCGTCCCGGACCCGGTGGCTTAAAACTCACGCCGGGCGCGTGTGCGTACGTGCCCAAGATCCCGAGAGGAGAATGGAGGAGAAGGGATTGCGGCGTGACCATCCCCCCTGGGGGGTGATTTCTCGCTTTCTGTCTCTATGTCTCTCTCTGTCTGTCTGGCGAGCGCACGCGCCCTATAGCGAAAAAAAAAAAAAAAAACCTCTCAAAAAAAAAAAGATTTTTAGATGTATTTTTGCTCTAGAGTATGTGCACTCACCAGAGAGATAGAGAAAGACAGAGAGACAGAAAGTGAAAAATCACGCCCCAGGAGAATGGCCACACTATAATACCTTCTCCTCGATTCTCCTATTGGGATTTTAGGCACACATTCGCACACACACCTGGCGTGAGTTTCAAGCCATAAGGTCTTGGACTCAAATGGTGGTCAGCCATGTGGGAGTCCAGTGATGTAACCATTACATCATCTGCTGGTCCCTAATTAAATTAAATTTTAATTAATTGAATTCAAATAGCCATATGTGGCTAGTGGTTACGGTCTTGCATAGGATCACTCTGGAGGTTTCTGAGCTGAAGAGCAGAAGGACCTATATTTTAACAAGAAACAATGCAGGCTAAAAAGAATTTGAGAAAGACAAGGGCAAAAATAAAAAAAGAGAGACTATTCAAAATATCGCTATGGTAAGTCCAGTGAGAAATGATGAGGGCTTGGCCAGGTAGAAAGATAATGTAAGCAGCAGTCAAATACTAGACATATTTTGTGGCACAGTCCATAAGATTTGCTAAAGGGTTCATGTGGGATGTGTGAAGAACAGTCAATGATAAAAGCAACATTTATGGCAAAGGCAGTTAGAAGAATGGGGTTGCCTTTGGCTGAGATGGAGAAGAATGTAGGAGAAACTGTTCTGAGAGAAAATGCCAACAGCTCAGTTTGACATCTCAAGTGTGAGATGCCTCTTAGATATCCAAGTGTGCAAGATGCCAAGCAAGCAAGCAGGCAGAGGACTAGACATAGGGGAGAGATGTGTCTAGAGATAAATATCAACATATTGATAGTTTTGTAAGCCAAGAGGCTAGATAAAACTAGGCAGATAATTAAGAAAATAGAAAAAAAGAGAAGACATCCAATGATTGAAGCCTATTAATTAAACAAATACTAAGGAGTATTATAGAGAACACAAACTACACTTGAAGAGTTCAGAGACATAGTAAAGGACGAAAGTAGAAATGCTGTGTACACGGTGCGTGCGTGTGTGTTTTGAGTGAGCTAGCACTAGGATTGATATGCAGCAGATGACTGCCCTTCCAATGGGTCCTGCCACTGTTTCCGTCTAATGAGATATGGACTTTCCTTCTAATGAGATATGGAAAAGAATAAGCTGACCAGCTCTCAGAGGATGGATCTTATACGATACCATGTGACTGTTGCAAAGGAGGACATTATCCTTTATTTGCATTTAATTACATTATGAAATAATTAAAATCCAAACATGTATGACTCTTTACATTTAAGGGAATATCCTGCATCATGCCAGTTGAATTATTACCTATAATGTTATAGTCCTAACTATATATATAATTAAATATATAAACCTAATTCAGATAATACACAAAGAGACAAAGTCTTTGAATTGGTTAAATGTTCATGTTATTGTTACTCAGTGCAATGGTTAAGTTTTAAGTATCAACCTGATTAGGCTACTATAGTACCTAGTTGTTGGGTCAAACATAAATTTAGCTATAACTGTGGAGGGATTCTGTAGATATGATTAAGTTGATAATCAATTCATCCTAAGTAGAGGGTAGTACCCTGGATAATATGGGGAGGAGGGCTCAGTCAGTCAGTTGAAGGCCTCAGCAAAGCCTGAGGTTTCTTAGACATTGATTCTACCTTAAGACTATAACAAAGAATTTTCTGAGTTTCTAGGCTGCCACACTTCCTATTTCCAACTTCCCAGCATTCAGAATCACATGACAAAAGCAAATAACTGGGTACCATAGCTTAGCTGCTCACATATATCCTAACAGAAATATTTTGAAGGTTAAATAAAATAATTCATGTGAAGTTCTTAGTATAGCGCCTGGCACACAACAAATATTCAATAAATATTAAATAATCTGGGTTACTGCTATTCTTCTAATAAACAAATATTGAGTATTGATTGTCTTTAAAGACCTTATAAATTTACCTTAAATAAAAAATAATTAAGTTTTTACTGAGTATTGATTATCTTTAAAGACATTATAATTTTACCTTAAATAAAAAATAATTAAGTTTTTCTAAATCTATCTTATAGTTACCATCCCAATAGAGAAGTTTGAAAACTGAATTTGTCATATTCTAGATGTTCTTCTCTAACAGAGTTGCTTCTATAAGAAATTCTTCTATGTTTAGTCAACCCCAAACTCTACCAGAGATTTAATAAAAACATTTAAAGGGCTCAAACAAAATGAAAATAGAAAAAAGAACATCCACAATCAAAATATAGTGATCTGCCTCACAACTAGTTTTCTAGAAAATTTCATGATGCAGATGGGGAAAAAAACAAAACAAAACAAAACAACAAAACAAAACAAAACAAAAGGTATATTTAAAGAACTTTATGCCTACAAAACTTTAGAAAGGACAGAATTTTTCATTCATAAATGGTCAAGTTTGGTTTTAGTTAACTATAATATCAGAAATATCCTAATTTGAAAAAAAATTTTCTATACAAGACTAAACAGATAAGAGGCAATTGTCTAAAATACTTACCGAAATTTCGCATTATGTTATATATTACTGGGTTGTCAGAAAAGTCATGAGGTATATTTGCATAGAAAGACATAGAAAACACATCATGATTTTCCCGACAACCCAATAGTATAAATTAGAAATACCTACATTAGAGCTACTTTAAAAAGTTCAGATGTTCTTCTAAACCATCCTACTAAAGAGTATGCAACATTTCAGGAAAAAAAAAAATCAATTTTTCTAAAGAACTTTGAGATTTGTGGTCATATTTTTACTTCTATCATAAACCTACGGGTAATTATTTATTTCTAATTTGTTATAACTCACCTATGGGAAACTGCTCCCCAAGCACCATGTTTATTTGTGAGTATATTGAGAATCTTCTGCTTCAGCTGGTTTGCTGTTACGTGATCTCGATGTTTGGCAGCACTGATAAGATGGTCACACATCTTTTCTTCCTCCCTCCTGTCAGCAGCATACTGGGCACACTGTGACTATAAAGAAATGCAAAGAACATACAATAATAAACATTTTTACTGTGTATGAGTATGGAATAATATCTAGCCTTAAGTTAAAAGATAGTATCAATTCAAATTCAAAGTCAGATAATATAATCTTTTGGTATTTTGTTCTAATACAAGTAGTCATATTTCAAACTGGTAAAAACGTGTATGTAAAATAATTAATTTAGATAATGTTAAATAAAGTAATTGGTGACTTTTATGGTTCCTTCCAATTCTGAACATTTGATTTTAATGTATTCTAAAACTAATCATTTAGTCATACAAATGTTCACTAAAAATGTAAATCTACTGTTACTTTAAATGATGTAATACATTGCTTAAAATAAGAGGTATGTTCCTGATAATGATATGTAAATTTAAAAGTCATTTCATTTGTAATTTTTCATCTCATGAATTCCAATGTAATGCAGAAGAAAATGTAGTTATTTAGGAATTTAATAGATTTATATTTTAACAAACACTCCATAAAAATGTCATTTTGCTTTCGTTGTACTCTGTTACGTATTTGTAAAACAGGGAGACGAAAAAAGACTTTCTCTGTTTTCTCTCCTGGTTCTAAAATTTACTGTTTTCTAGAAGTCTCATAAGAACTATTCCTATTTTTACCTTCCTTTTTTCCATTATAATTAGTTGCCATGTCAGCTATCTGTGTTCATACTCACTGGTGTTAGCCATATATCTGATCAATGAATTGCTTTGTATGTAAGAGATTCAGTATGAACATGAAAAGAAACATCCCTTTAATCAAAAGTTTGATATTTTGCATAGTAAGTTTTATACAGAGTACCTTCACTATAAATTTCAATAACAGTAAGAAAGTAATACAATCTGTATAACTAGGAAGAATAAAAAATCACATGTATCCAAGAATATATGTATAACTAAATCAAACTCATCATTACTACACAAAATCTACTTGATGAAAGGTACTCGAACATATTCTTTCTATCTATTGATATAGACTACTACCACAAGTCATCTCTTTTGAAGAAATAACCCTATGGTAATCTAAGAAGGATTAATTCATTTTCCAATTTATCTTTTTGTACAGGGAATCACCAATTAGTACAATGATCTGCCTCAGTAATGAGGTTAATATTTCATTAGCTCATTGGAGAGTAAAATTAAATTTTCATTTTTCTTCCTTAACAATTACAGTAGTTAACTAAAAAAAACCCCTTAACTGTGAAATTCCCATTTCAAATTAAATATATATTTTTATGCAAATTATAGGCTTATGTGATGGACAGAGAAACTCTTCAAAAAGTTCTGCTAAAATGTCATGACTTTTGTGAAATATTTTATAAAGTAAAAGTGATAAGTGTTTATTATATTACACACATAAACCCCAATGAATTTATTAATGTAGCACTAACTTAAAGAGCAAAAAATGTAAACATTTGTGTTAAAAAATAATGTACACTCTTCAACAATGGTAATACACTCAAAATTAGATTTATATTAATGTTGTATTTCATGTATCTATAATCTAAAAAACACTAAGTCTTCATGTCCCCTTCAATACCTCTTATCACTCTTAGTCATGCATCCACAATGGGAATGATCTCATTCCCAAGGGGGTAAAAAGTGGTGCTAGGATGTGTGTGTGGGAAAAAAAACTTACTGTTTTAAAGTATAAAACATAGATGCATATAGAGTACACAAACACATATATAGCATATTGGTGGTATTCAAATTTCCTTGGGATGGGGGACAATGAGAGGAAAAAAGTCATAAAAAATTCTTGAGAGAGGCAGTACTAATAAATAAGGCTGAGAAACACTGCTCTTAGCTTAACACCAGAATGGTTAAATATGTGTTAAAGTTCATAACTAATCTCCAGCCTCTTGAAAACTCATTTTAAATGTTTCTAGATAGCAAGTATCTGCTTATATCCCCACAAGATATCCTGATTTTTTTTAAAGTGGAAATATGATTAAGCCAAAACTTATACTGCAGGGAATTCAGTTAAGATTCTAAATCTCATTTATTATCAGAAGTTGAAAATAATTTAAATATTCTTCTTTTGCTGAGTACTGACATATCCTTTACCTAAACATATTATTCAAGAGACAGATAGATAACTCAATCTTTTCTTGTCATCCAGATGGCTGTATTATATCCTGATAAATATCCAATGTTTCTTATTGTTGAAGTGATATGAAACTCTACTTTGATAAACACTTGTCATTATACTTTTATCAACGTTTAAAATATCTGTTACTTTTTCAAAATAAAATTGTTACTATTCCACAAGACAAATGCTTGCTGTCTCATCTGACCAAATGAAGCAAAGGTTATGTGTATGAAAGCAGCAACAGCTATTTTTCTGCCTCATGCTTTTCAGCTAGCTAGGTCAGAGATCACTAGACCTAGTCCATCAACTTGTATGACTCAGAGAGCTGCTTTACTGAGATAAAAACCTCATCAAAACTGGAATTGTGGGCTCCGATTTCTAGTCACACCACACTTGTTGGCATGCTGGATCAACAGAATAAACCAGTGGAATATTTATTACTTTCAAGGCCACTGAGAGTCTAACCTAAGCCAAACACCACTTCACCTAGATATTTCTGAAACCAATTTTATTTTCTAAATCAAATGAACCAAATCCTGAATAACTGCTGTATGAAAAACACTGAAATTAGATTTGTGAATCCTAGAAGAGGATATAATTGTATCATATATTCATATCTCCCTAGCGGTATATAAACCTCTACTAGTTTAAAAATTATTGAAGTAATCCGGATTAAAATTTTTTACTTGCCTTTACATTTAGAATAAGTTAGAATAATCAACCTACTGTGTGATTAGGCTCAGGGCAGGAGGGATTTCTTTGTGTTGTAAATAATGTGAAAATAAACTTATGCTCTGTGTTTGACATTTACTAAAGTTTTTGAAAACAGGAATTGAAATGCATTCAGAGAATTTTCCTCAAAAAAATAATTTCTTAGTTAAGATTACAATTAGGAATTGAAATGCCTTCAGAGAATTTTCCTCAAAAAAACAATTTCTTAGTTAAGGTTACAATGAATGATGGTTGATTTAGAATGGCAGATTTTAATCCACTCCCCAAACCTTACCTCGAATTCTGCATGTTTATGTACATCCTCAGCTCTCTGTCTATTCAAAATAAACTCAGCTTCATTTGCAACACGAACGATATGGTCCTTCATAGCATGGCACAGTAATCTAAAAAGAAAAATACCTTTGGAATAATTGTTCTTAATAGTTTTTCATTAATCCAACTTTTGTCAATAATCAAATTTCAGCGTTTTATATATTAATTATCCATATAATTTAGGTAAACCTTGATTATAAAATTGATATATTTAAAAGTATAATTCAATAAAATTTGAAATGCAGAAATATGCCATAAAAGTGTTACAGTAATGTCTTTGTTTAATAATGTATCTTGTGAACCAGTGATTCAGCTAATTAGACAAAGATACTAAAATTCAATAAAAATCAAGAATTTTTTGTTGGAATGCTTTAAGGTGGCTAAACAACATAATTCGCTATCTTGGAAGCAAATTTTCACACATAAACTAGATGACTACACAGTAGACAGTACATACAAACTAGATTCTTCTTACTTTAATACAGATGATAGGACTGGCTGACACCTAAAATTCCATTTACAATTATAATTTTCATTGACATATAATGGTTGTACATATTTATGGGGTATGCTGACATTCCAAATTCTAAGACAGACCTATTATAAAATAAAAAAAAATATTGCTATGGGGCAATTTTTCTTTCAATAATTATTTATTTAATTATATTTATTCATCCATTTATTTTAATTTGACCAGAGAGAGACACAGAGCATGTGAGAGAGAGAAAGAGAGATGGAGAGAGGAAGAGAGAGATGCAAAGCTAGAAAAAAGAGCCACCAGGTCCAGGACTCGAACCGTGGTCAGTCATGTGAGAGTATCTAGCACCTTAACCACCATGCCACCCACTAGTCCCAGGGGCATTTTTTTTTTAATGTTTGCAAGAGAGAATGTGTTCTTGCCAGAAAGAGAGAGAAAGGGGAAAAGTATACGCCATCGGGGGACAATCCGGCCACAATCTCTTCTTCTCTATTTCTTCCTCCTTTTTAGGATTTTGGGCATGTGTACACACACACACACACATACCCTTGGCATGTTTTCCAGCTGTTAGGTCCAGGATTCAAACCATATAGTTGGCCATATAGGATCTATCTGCCTTAACCACCATGCCATTAGCTGACCCAGGACAAAATGTTCTAATTATGTAATTTACTTAAAGTGTTTTTTTTGTTTTGTTTTGTTTGTTTGTTTGTTTTTACTGATTCTTTTTTTCCTTTTCCAGGGTCTCACTTTGTTGCTCAGGCCAGCCTCAAGCTTGAGATCTCCCTGCCTCAGTCTCCCCGATTCGCTGGGATTCCAGGATGCCACCATGCCCGGACTTTAGGTTGGACCAGTAACCAAACCCAAGGCCTTCTGTGTGGTCCCAGCTTGTAGAGAGTAGCAGCTTAGCACTTCATATCACCACACTTAGAGCTCTAATTATTTTGAAGACATACAATAAACTATATAGTTAAAAAGCCTCTCACTACATGTCCTACGCACCTTATTTCCACACTTAACAGTTTCCACTGCTTAGTTTCTTAAGTGTTTTCAGAGACTTTTAAAGTATACCAAAAAAATCTAACACTGGGACCAGCAGGTGGCATAATGGTTAAGGCACTGGACTCTCACATGGCTAACTACAATTCAAGTCCTGGGCCTTGTGGCTTGAAAATCATGCCAGGGAGTATGCCCAAAATTCTGAAAGAATGGAGGAGAAGAGATTGCAGTGTGACCATTCCCCCAGGGGGTGATTTCTCACTTTCCCTCCATCTCTCTGGTGAGCACACAGGCCCTATGACAAAAAAAAAAAAAAAACCATCTCTCTGGGGAGCGCACAAGCCCTTTTAAAAAAAAAAAAAAAAAAAAAAAAAAGTTTAAAAAAATCCCCAAAAAACCACTAATATTCACATATTACAGTCTGTTCTGTACTTAGCTTTTCTCGCTTAGTGATATATCTTGTAGATCTTATCAGAGCTATAAGTAGAGAGTTTATTTTTTAAATAATATGTGACAGATATTTATAAAGATAACTGCAACAATATTTTCCATTCCACACACTCTTTTGCAGTGTGACTTTATCATTGCCCCATCAAAAAGTGATCTCTTGCTCCACTCCTCCTAAATCTAGCCTTGCCCTGTGATTTCTTATGATCTACACAATATGGCACAAGTGATACTATGTGACGCTTGGGATAAGGGCCAAAGAGGCCTTGCAGTTTCTCCTTTTTTTTTTTTTTTTTTTTTTTTTTTAATTGCATTCATTCTTTGCTTTTTCTTTTTCAGAGAGAGAATCTTCAACAGGGTCTTCATGCCACAATCTACCTCTAGTCTCACCCATCTGGATTATGGGCATGCACATGCTCCCGGTGTATTCAGGGAAGTCCCATGAGGTAAACCTATGGCCTTTCCCATATGGGTCCACCTGTGTTCCTGAGGTGCCACCACTTTGCCTTGACTTGCAACTTCTGACGTTCTTTCTTACAACTCTCTCTTCTGGAGTCTGCAGCTACACTGAGAAAAGCTCTTGTCAGACATAGAAGGGAACTATTCAAACTCCCGATCCTAGATGAGCTTTTAAATGCAGCCTTCCAGGTAACTGCAGACCCAGGCAACTCATGGAGTCAAAGAACTGCTTAGCTGAATGCATTTACTGAGGATCATGTGAGAGAGAAAATGACTGTTGGCTCAAATCACATGATGACAATAATGAAGGTGATACTGACTATAACAACTGTCATGAAACCATTTATTGTAGGTTAGATAGTAATCCTGATAATTTACACATAATTAATTATCCTAAGAATCCTCAGAAGTACATCATTTGATTTTTAAAATTAAGAGAGTACATAGAAAATAAGTACCTTTTCCCAGATTAAAAAATTATAAAAATAAAACTTTAAAGACAGGGTATCACTCATAATCATTCATTGTCCAGTTTTTCTTTCCCAGGGTTTTAAACAAGAGTAGTATTTCAAGCCAAGAGTACCACTTGTCTAAAATGGAATTACATCAAGCTAAAAAGTTTCTCATAGCAAAAGAAACTACAACTAAAGTGAAAAGACAATCTGAAATGGGAAAAAATGTTTGCAAATTATCCATTAGATAAGGAATTGATACCTAGAATATATAGGGAATTCAAGTGACTCACCCATAAAAGCAGAAATACTGTAATTAAAAATGGACAAATGAACAGACAACTCTCCGAGGAAGATTTACGAATGGCTAAGAGCTATATGAAAAAATGTTCAGTGTCTAGCCACAGGGGAAATGCAAATTAAAACTACAATGTGCTATAATTTAACCTCAGTTACAATGACTAGGATCAAAAAGATAAAGAACACTAAGTACGGGTGAGACTGTGGTGAAAAGGAAACTCTCTTAGTCCAACCTCTCTGGAAAACAATATGGAGATTTCTCAAAAAACTTCCAAATTAGAATGTCCATATGACCAAGCAATCTCATTCCTTAGTATCCACTCAAAGGATTAAAAAAACACTCAATTGGAAAGAAATCTGCATGTCCATGTTTAATGCAGCATTATTTATAATTGATAAAACATGGAACCAACCTAAGTGTGCAAAAACTGATGATGATATTGAAAAACTGACACACATATACTATAGAATAATAATGCACAGTTATTAGACATAATGAGATCCTATTGTTAGACTCAAAATGGATGAATATAGAAGATTTAATGTTGGGTGAAGTGAGTCAGACCTTAAAAGATGCACACTGTATATTGGACCGGGTGTCTGCATTTTATGGTAGATATTGAAAGAGCTGAAGATGTGATAGTGGAGACGATCAGTGTGGATGCCAATAACAGCAAGGGGTAAAGTAGTTGGTAGAGAGTGAGTGGTGGATGGTGGATGTAAGATTAAAAAATAGAGTATAAATGACAAATTTTGTTTACTAGAGAAAAACAAACCAAAGTCTTTTCTTTTTTTTCGGTAGTATATGTTTAATTTATCTGTCATTAAAAGAGCACTTTGCCTAAAAAAAAAGTCTAATTAGTATGGATAATGCCTACAATATTTGAGTAAATTATAGTTTTTCATTAATTTGTAAGCCACTGTTACAAATATCACTTTTATTTTTGGTACATGTCAAATTGCAATTGAAATTTATTTTGTCAATATTTTTTAAATGAACTAAAAGTTTTTGTTTATTAAAAAATACTATCTCTAGGTTATTATTCATTATTTTCACTACTCATTAATAAATATATCATTTGTTCTTGATTAAGATGTCATAAATTTCAATTAGAGTGAAATATGTTTAACTTTGTTTTGTTTTTTGTATTTACTAAATACAAACTCATAATAATTCCTACTACATCCTTCACTACATTCTATCTATTATGGCAAATTTGTTTTCTCCACTGATAAACACATATAAGCCAAAGAACCTGGCAGTTCTAAATTACTGTTTACATACCATTGTTTTTAAGGTTTTGACCATAGGGCACATCCACTCAGAGAGGCAGACAGAGATAGTGATAGGGAAAGTGAGAAATTACCCCCTGGGAGGATAACCACACTATAATCCCTTCTCCTTCATTCTTCTCTTCAGATTGGGCACATATGCACACGTGCCTGGTGTGAATTTCAGGCTGCTGGATCTGGTACTTGAAACATGGTAGGCCATGTGGAAGTTCACTGCTTTAATCACTATACCACCTGCTGGTTCACACATGTAATTTTAAAAAAGCTACTTCTCTGGTGTCTGACTATACTATTTCTCATATTTTAAGGTTAAATTATATAACAAAAATCTTAGTATCATTCCACTAAATTATCGCAATATCTACATGTCATCTTCTACAAAAACTCACAGGAGAACGGTTCCTTTATTTCAGAGTAGTAATGCAAGTTCTTAGCACCACTGAATTCAAGATACTTCTGAGTAGAAATCTTCCCCAAATCAGTGTCTGTTCTGAGATTTAACTACTCCTTGATGAGAGTTGGCCTAAATAATTACTTTGTCATGTTAGATTAGTGGGAATACTTCTGGCAGTATGACAGAAGAACCACCAAAATCCTGTATAGGAGCAGGATAGGGGGAGATTTTTTTTTAGAAACATGTAGC